GGAGGAAGATAATGAGAGGGATATTGGCGTATGAAATGCACGAGTATGTATGTGTATGCAGATAATATATATACATACACATATACACATACACAGTCCCACACCAATTAATTTATTTGCATGTTCTCATCTTTTCTAGGTCTTAACTTCTCCCTTTTTTAATATTCTTTCCCATGGTAGACTCCTTTTCAAACTGTTTCTTACTGTTGTGAGAATTACTTTAAGGAAAAACCCCCAGCAAAACAAAGCCTCTTGTACACGAGACATTTGATTCTGTACGGTTATCATCAATGAGACCTGATGCAAGTTTATCCAAACATTTCAGAATTTTCCAAATGAGTGTTCATTTCCTTTAACCGGTTTTTAGAGAATAATCACTCATTTGGCACTGACTGAATTGCAGGCAACGAGATCCCTGTGAGGCAGTCATGCGAGCAGGTGTTTCTCTGCCCACTGTTATTTTCAACCTTTCGGGGCTGACGTCAACAGTTGAAACTTCTTGTTATTGTTGGCTTTGGTTTCTGCAAAGCTGTATCTGGGTAGCCTGTAGTTTCAGATTAATCTTCAGAATCATTTGAGTGTTTACACTCAGAATTGTTTAAAAATAGATTTCTGTGTGTGCATGTTATCTTAATACCTATATTTGTACGAGGTGACAGACACCCCAGTACGGCTCCTACTTCTGAACATAGTTCTAGAGAAAAACTCCCTAGAAGGGAAAACACTGTAGGAAGGAGACAGCAGGAAATAAGGATAGTCTTTATAAATGTTGTAATGTCAAAGGAGTGGTGATTGTACCTTACTGTCCACTCTACCAAGGGTAGTAGGTGGCTTTTGGGAAATAATTTTCACTAAATGCTGTAGGGAGAACCAGGCACCTGACAGACAAGAAGATTAAATGTGCATTAGTGGTACCACAAACTGACTTTCTTTGCCTGATTTTCTTTTGGTTATCAAATTATTACTAAATAGGCAAGTTCTGGAAGGGTGATCTCACATCAAAGTTCAGGTATGGAACATTGTGCTAAACTCTGTGATGCATGCACTTCTCAGATGGATTCTGCCCTTCATGAACCTTTCCATTATTTCTGGCTGCACAGTATCTCTTACCGAAACTCCCAGGTGTTCCTAACCGCAACAAGGTATTCTGATCATTTAATGAATAGTTTTTGGTAGAAAACTGTGTTAATTTCACTAGAAAAGAATTTGAAAAGTATTCTCTAATCCTATTGCTGCATGCTTAGAGTCAATATTCAACATTTTTTCTTGAAAAAGAGGTTGAGCTCACAGTGAGCCTTTCCTGGGGAGCTGCAACATTCTCTTTGGGTTCCTTCAGGGTACTTACAAGTTAGGAAATTGAGTTCAGATCCATTATTTTGCTGGATCTTAGAATAGTCTGTGGAGCCCTGTGTCCTAAGGTTCCTGACTTAAAAGAGAAAAGAAAACAGTGGTGTTCAGGGAAGAACCGCAGAGAGTGAAGTAGGGGACTGGAAAAGGAGGAGAGCACAAAATTTGGGGACTTTTGAAGCAAACAACAAAAACAAAACACCTCCTCTGTGCATAAGCACCCTTCCCTCCCCACCCCTCAACACTTTCAGGAAATGAGAGCACAGCCTGGGGACCAGGAAGTAACTGTCTGTTACTTAGCCACAGAAGTGGCTACAGGATTGAACTTTGACCTCCTCTGAGGCGGGCTGGCTATCTGGCTGAGCTGCAGATTATCCTATCTTTAGCAGACTGACAGCTGAAGTATTTGGTCTTGGTTTTCCACTAAAGAGGGACGTTGTGAATCATTGCATAGCAGCAAATATTACGTTTTGAATATTAATGCCTGATCTTTTGTGTCATCTGACTAACAACAAACGAAGAGGGATCCTAAGCCAAACCCCAGGTAGCTTTATATTAGTGGCCAGCAAGGGGTTAAGGAGCTTTGTCTACTCTGCAGTCTTAATTAAATGTGTAGTTTGCAGGCGTGCCAAATCGCTAAACCTAGATTTCTCATATTAGATAATGTGTAATAAAAGACAGCTGTTGCCAGCATATGCTGTTCACTCCACATCAGTTCCTCATTCATGAGTTTTGGTATCATAGCTACAACCCTGAGGAAAGGCTCTGGCTGGGACAGAAGTCTGGGGAGCAGGGACTTCCCTGGTTAGATCCTAGAATAGGGCTGCTCACTCGAGGGAAAGGGCTGCAGGGAAAACTTCTTTCAAAGTGGAAGACCTTGATAAGACATTAGACATATTTCATTTCACACCTGCAGATAGTTTAGTGTGCAAGCGAGGTTGAACCCTGAGAACATTCCTTTCCACATGCCTGAGTCTGACAGCCCGGATCAAAAACAAGGAGCCTTTGTGTCAAGATGTGGCACGTGTCAGAGAATTTGATGGTGCCTAATTTATTTAAATGGTTTTTTATTTAAATGTTAGGTGCCTGAGACAGGCTCATTGCTGATCCAGAGTGGAAACTAATTTATAATTTGACTTAGTGTGATTTTTTGTGTGTGTCACTGATAACCCAAATCAGTCAGTCCGCAGGAACTGAGTATCTGCTCTGCATCTCACACTGTATAAGACAAATATTAGCTAGATAGAAAGGTTAGCATGAGGTGGGGTGGGGAAGTGTCTTCCTCTGTAGAGGTCATGGATTTGTTTCGTAGCCATAAAAGATTTTAGATTTGAATCTATCTAGAATGATTTTTGATTCAGAAGGCAGGTAGAGGGTTGACCAGATGAAATCTTGAGGTTCCCATTAATGCTATGATTATTTGCCTAACAAAAGGACATTTAAAATTGCCGAGGAAAGGCTCAAAATTTTAATAATTCATTAATTCTTGCCAACATTCATTCATTTAGCAACACACTAATTTACTTTCTTTTCTACTAGTCCTTTTTCTATCGTTCTTGCTGTTTTTGGATTGAGGTGTTTTTTTTAATCTTGTTTCTTTCCTTTCATTTTTAATTTTGCTACATATTTTGGAGTTTTAAATTTTATTTTATATTTTTTGATGATTACCCTTGAGTTTTTCCTATGAATATTTAATATAATGAAGGGCAAAGCTGAAGATCGTAACACATTCCTCCTGAACATGAGTATTTTACTTGGGATTCCCACCAGCACTTACTCGCTTGTATTGGTGTCTGGTAGTTTACTTCTGTTTGTCTATTTAGCTGATTTTAAGTTTTCACTCTATTCCAGGCCCTGTGCTAGGCATTGAGGTAGAAAGTAAAACAAATACATTCCTCAAGAGGCCCAAAGCATACGGATAATTATGTATAGAAGAGAGGTATTTGATTCAGTATGCCCTTCATATAAATATACATATATACCTCCGTATGTGAATAATCTGATGAATATTGATACGAGAGTAATATTTTAAAATATAAACCCAAGATACAGATAACATAATTAGATATGACCTACCTAAGTGCCTTACAATCTGAAATAAGGATAAAAGCCAAGCAGATGCAAAGAATGAAAATAAGATTAAGAAAATGTGAGTACAATATAAGGGAGAGATTGAGAAGGTTTGGGAATGTCAACTTTATTGCTCTCTTCCACAAGAAGGCAGCCTACTACACAGTTGTTAATGGTACACATCAGAACAAATTCAGACTGAAACAAACCATACAAATTGTTGTAGGCATTCCACAGTTAGTCCTTATAAGTTGAAAACAGATACTTTTTAGCAAATCTAGAGAATCTTTTGGGGTCTGAGCCTTCCTATTGCAGTCTTCAGGTTGATTTAAGTGATTTGTGGTCCAGAATTGGAATTCTGGACCACTCAAATTGGTGGGAAGAGATCAGCCCTCCATTACGTTAACTTTACTGACCAATGGCTTAATTCTGAACACTGAGCCATTCCAGAAAATTTGTGAGAATGTTGACATTTGGTACCTGATAATTTGAATTCCTTACAGTGATGTAGGCTTCTCTCCTAACAAATGTCCTGATGAGCATTTCATTTGTGCATTAATTTCTTCTATGTACTTTTACCTTTTGATTTTCACCCTCTGCTCATTTTATTTTTATTTGTTTGGACTATGCATTGATCTCCTGACATCTTATGTATTCATTGATGTATGACAACTATATCAGGTTAACAGATAAACACCATGTGTGAGCTAGTAGTAGCATGAGCTTGTTTTGGGCCCTTGGACTAACACTTGAGAAAGGGCTAATTAACGTTTGTTGATTCCTAAACAAACAGACGAAACAAAAAACACACAAAAACTCTCTGCAGTCACCTAAAAAACAAGATGCCACCTTTTGTTAACTTTTCCTCTGTTTACAATGATAGAATGGATCCTGGAAGCTTATGTTTATATAATCTTTTTCCAAAAGATGCAGAGGAATGAAGGTGTTATTATTTATCCCATTCTGACATTCCTTTCCTGTCTTGGCTGGAAATCTCACCGCCCTCTTCCAAAACAATTCAAAAATAAGTTACAAACAGAATTGAAGTTTTGTGTCCCAGGTTTCACTTGATTTGTGTTTCTGTATATGAGTTGGTTGTTTAGAGATTATTTTATCCCACTAAAAACAGTAACATATTGAACTATTACAGTAAACACAGTCATTTCATCAGCATCTCCAAAAACTATCAAGTATTTGGGTTTTATATGCCAGTCTATGGGTGTTATTTTTCTTCGGATTTCAGTGTGATTATAAATTACTGTGGTTAATCTTTCAGAGGCTATTTTAAATACAGATTAGATATGAAGTTCTTTCTGGAAGCTTTGGAGTTTTGCCACATTAACTCCCTTGCCACAGTGTATTATTATCAGAGCCTCTTTTAATCTTTTAAACAGAATGCCTGAATGTTCCCTTTCCCAGCAATCCTTTGCTATCACCAGAGAATGGAAATTACTGCTTTTACGTAACAATTTCCCAGGAGCTGGGCCAAAGAAGGTGATAAAGAACAAAGTCCTTTGTGATTTAGAACATGTTACAGATGTGTCTTAAGGACCTTTCAATAACTGTGCGCTTGTATTTTTCAGCTTGCTTTGACGAGATCAAGTTCTTTAGGTGAATTTTCCTGGTCTCAAAGGTAAAGAGATTCTTTTATTTTTTGGTCTCTCACCAAGATATTTAGGAACACAGCTCTCCAGGCTGTTGATAAGGCATACACACACACACACACACACACACACATACACACACACAGAGTCATACATACTACAATTTACATAAATGTCAGCTATTTTTAATTGACAGTTATTTTTAATAAGTATGTGCCAAATGTGATACTTTGATCTTCATGCATAGTTATGTTTTTAATTTTTTATTACAGAAAGCTTGTGACTGTGGAAAAGCAGGATAATGGAACATTTGGATTTGAAATTCAGGTGGGCAGCTTTCAAGTTTTCCAGACTTTTAATGAAGAAAGTGGCATTGGTAGTGTCATGATATTTACAAAGAAAGAATGAAGTCAAGATTAGAGAATGATTTGGCTGTTTTTGGTAGTTTTTCAGTGTGTTGGGTACTATCAATGAAAGAAAGCATTGACGCAAATAAAAAAAACCCCTGAGACATGCTCACCTCCTTGTTCTTAGTTGCGGCAGTATTCCCTTATGTCTGAGACTGACCAGAAATGCTTGTACTCTTTATAGATGTGCATTATATATATATCTGCATTTCTTTATGTTTTGCATTATCGTTTTTTATGGTGTATATCAGATTTTAAATTTATACTTTGGAATTCAAGAAATACTTGAAAGCATATGTATTTGTGTATATAGACCATGTATTCATGTACAGCTCCTGTTGCATTTCAAAAAGACTAAAGGTTTCATATTGTATATAATGAGAAATTTGTGCTTTATTCTTCTTAATGACCACACTTTATAATTATTATTTGAAGCACTTAGGAACATTTGGCTCTACTCATGCTCTAGGAAATTTTTAACACTCTTCTTAGGTTTCTCTGTAATTGCCTAAGAATTTTATTTCTTATTTGCTGTCTGCTTTCTCGTGGCCATATTTGTAAAGATGGTGAGTTAGGTCAAATAAAGGCTAGACCAATTAAGTGTGACAGTAGTAGCTTAAGTATTACTGTTTTTTTTCCATAACACTTTTGCATTTCTTTTAGATGTGTTTTGCACAATCATATTTTTATACTGTACCTCAGCTTTTAGACCAGCTTTTTAGATCTTAGCTTTGGTGCTGCTTTCAGAAAACTTTGGTGACTGAATATCAGCCCCACAATTGGAAAGTCAGTGTATACTTTAAGATTAGGAACAGGAAGCTGCTACGTAAAACATGCTTATGAATAAAGAAGCCAAATGGAATCTGCTGAAATGAACAGGGAGAAGGCTATAGGAGAAAAGAAGATGCCGTCTACTTTCTGAACTCTTCTACTTTTAAATTTGGTGAATTCTGTAATTCTTCCATAGTACTGTCTCTTTTTTCCCATTCACATGAAACATGCTCTTTTCTGTCTTAGAGACACTGTGCTTTTTGTGACTGCTTCTTTTTAAGTGAGAATTATCCTCAAGGATGTACAGCAATTGCTTCTGAAAACAGGATCAATGACTACTCACCCTGCTGAACGTGACAAATGAAGATTTTTTTTTCTTACTCTTCTGTGGTATATATCACTGCTTCCCCATGTTTCTCCCCCACGCCATAAACACTTACTCTACATGGAGCAAGAATCAAAACTATCATTAGTAAGCAACAGGCTGCAGCACTGTGAACGTTTGTAGATCAACATGAGCTGATGGCTTCACCTCTGCGCTGGAGCGTGGGTGTTACCTCACTATGCAGGAATCCACTCCTCTGCAAATTCTGTTTGGTGTATGCTTTCCATGACAAGCTCCAGTCGTAAGATTTGGAGAAGTCATCAAATAGAAGAGATGTTCTGGCAACTTTGTGAAGACCAGAGAGAGTCTAATGTACCCATATTGTGCACCCATTGTTAATACATAGTTGAGTCTTGGTCCATCAGGTGAAGGCCATGTTGGAAGAAAACAAGTTCACCTCCTCTCTGGTTTCCTGTGGGTGCTATGTTTATGCTGCTAATGAGAGTTATGCAGCATGACAGGAACACAGGCTTTAGATTCATGCACACCTCAGCTGACATTCTCTCAATGCTACCTTATGAGATTCTTAGGAGTTTCAAATGAAATAACACATATAAAATACTTAATAATGTGCCTGGTACCCCAGTGAAAGATCAGCACACGACAGGCATTAGAATGAAGATCACTGGGCATGAGAAGGGGTGATGTGACTTTTATGTCTCTAAGAAGTGCGGGTGATCATTCTGTCATTGGCCCCTAAAAATGGCAGCTGGAAGACTGGGTAAGAGAGAGAGAGAGAGAGCAATATCCAAATAATTATTTCTTTCCAAAACTTTGGGGACTCTGCCTTCTCGTCTCTACCTCTAACCCACAAATTTTACACTTCTTGCAAACATATATATAGGCGCCAGCTGTGTCAGTCAACATGTTTTCCCCTTTACTGTACTCGCTCTGATCACAGGACATGGACGGCAGATACTCACTGCTAATGAGAATCGTTATAACTGCGGTTTCCCAAAGGAGTGCATGTTATAGCTGTGGCACATGAACAAGACTACCTTTGCATCTCTGGAAGGATCCGGACCATGCCAAGAAGACTTCCTGGTGGAAATGTTAAAGGGGTCTCTGACATAGATGGGAAATATATTACATGATCTTTAAATGTCTCTTCTGTCTTTAAGAAACGGGGATTCTAAATGCCTTATAGAGTGGATAGAAATCCCTCACAGGTTAATAAAAGCAAGTTTCTAGAAGTTGCTTGCACTTCTACATTGACTTTTAGTTCTGGAGCCTGTATGTCTGTAAAGCAAGAAGGATTGAACATCAGACAATTTCTCCATAAGACAGCAGTGCTATAATGTGGTTTAATTTTAGGAATCAGATGTTTGAAAGACTTGCTCAACTCAAAATGCTGATTTTGATTCTAAATGGAACTAGACCTCATAACTTAAATGTGTGAAAAGAAAAATAGGTTTGTTATAGCTCATTGGGCCACTGAATCTAACAAAACATTTATGCAGCGTTCTTGGTACAATTTGAAAAAAACTCAAAAAACAAAAACCAAAAACCAAGCTGCTTTTGCTAAACCAAGGCAAGAGACAACGCGTGATTTTTTCTAATTTACTTGGGTGACTAATGAACCGGTGAGTATTCAGGGCAGGCGTACCAGACAGCGCTCAGAAATGAAGGTAATTGAGTCAATTATAGTACTTTTGAATTAATGCAGGGCAGATTGTCATTATTTGCAGAACTCTGATTTGAAATAATTATTGTTGGCATTTCTCCCTTGCTGGATGTGTACTGTTTCATACGCTCCTGTAATGAGTGCTTTAACTTGGGAGAACCACATAGAGATTTTTCTTTGCTCTTGTCCACTATTGTTTCATCTCGTCGGGAAATGAGAAACTTAGTTTTTCTTAATAAATATGCAATTATGATAGCAACAGGGGTCTCTTGGGCTTGAAGATATAAAATCTTGAGCCAGTCGTATCTCACTTTCTTTCTTGAACGAGATGGTTTTTTATGAATGGGGTTGGCTACAGATTGTGTGGTCGAATTGCAAGATCGGAGCCTTTGATTCAGTTGATATTCAGGAAAGCCTTTCCAAATTGTTCTTTGCACTTACCTATTATACCACTTAAGGTAATTGACACCATTCTATTTTTGGATAAATAGATTCTGAGTTTTTTGAATAGTAATTATGTATCACTTTAATTTTTACAGACTTACAGGCTCCAGAACCACAACACCTACCCCTCAGAGATGTGCACACTAATCTGCAAAATCCAGGAGGACAGCCCAGCACACTGCGCTGGCCTGCAAGCTGGTAATTTATGACTTTTTGCTCATGTTAGGAATTATTTAAATGGCAAGAAATCTTTTTGTTAGTGAAGGTCAGGATGTGATTGTTGCTTCGGATTTTCTTAGCTCCTTTGTGTTGCTGAGGTTTGGGGCTGGCTTGTTTTGTTTCATTTGCATGTCAGGAGATACTATTTAACCAACTGCTTTAACGCTCATTTTTCTTGGTATCTCCCAGGTGATGTCCTTGCAAACATCAATGGTGTGAGCACAGAAGGCTTTACCCACAAACAAGTTGTTGACCTGATCAGATCGTCAGGAAACCTGCTAACGTAACTATCTGTCTGCTTCCTGTAGGGCTTCAAAAATGTTAAGGTCTCTCATAATGCCTGTTGAGTGAATGAATAGGCTTTTTGTTCAGTATCACAAGAAGGGAGGCAGTGCACCATAGCTTTGGGATTGGGTACAGACGTTTTTATCAGTTCCTTTTGTTTCTCAAGGTTTCCTCCAACTTGAACATACTGTCAACATCTGAAGTCAGAGGACATCAATAGTCTAAACGTCTGTGTGGGAGGGATAGCATTTAAAATTTTTATTTTTTATGTCAAATTTCAATTAGACTGGCACACATTCTCTTTGAATGGAGAGGAACTGGTCCAATTTCCATGGTTGATATAATCTTGTACTTAGAACAAATAAACGGTCAGCAGGGCTGAGTTTTTCCCTCTTATACCTCAGGCCAATTGTTATTTCTCCTCTAGTGTTCCATTTGGAAGGAAGAACTAAGTTTACTCAACCCTCCCTTCCCTGTAACACAGACAGTCACACCTGCTAATATTCCAAACTTATTAATGGAGCACTGGTCTCCCCAGTGAGAAATTTGACTGACTTTTCCACCATCCAATCCTTAGACCCTAATAAGATCCTAGCAATTTGTTAAAAGATGAAATTCACTCATTTGTTAAAATGACATTTATTGGGCAAATACTATGTTTCCAGCTCTGTGATAGGCTCGGGGAAGACAAAGACAAAGACTCTTCTAGTGCTTTATTAGTTGTGGAAGGAGATGGGTAAGAAAAGCCTACAAAAATGAGCAATTCTGTTATTTCAATTATTGATGACTAGTCTGAAGAAAGTAAAATAAGGAATGGGATAGGATATTAAGTAAGAGGGCTGCTATTTCAGCTTAGATGTTTAATGTGGCCCTCTCTGAGGAGGGGAAATTTGAGCTGAGACCTAAATGAAGAGAAGGGAAAGTTATAGGAACTCCTGGTGAGAGTATTTCAGGTAAAGGGAGAGATCTCTGAATTCTCAAAAGGGGCTTGGCACCTTCAAGGTACAGAGAGAAAGCCAATGTGATTGGTGGATGGTGGATTAGGGAGAGAATAGTAAGAAATGACTTGTTCGTGGGGCAGAGCATGGGTCTCATCAGTCAGGCTAAGTTGTTTAGGTTTTATTCTGATTAAGATGGGTCCTATATAATCTCATTCATTCTTCACAGCCACCTTATGAGGTTAGTTGTATTCCTATTTACAGATGAAGTGACTGACCTTAAATGAAGGCTGTGTTAAGGTCAACCATCTAGTAAGTGACAGGGCTGGGATTTGACCACCTGCTCTGGATGCCAGGATCTATTCTCTTCGGTTACACCACAGCTGCTCATTGCAAGCTGCCAGTAGAAAATCCACTAGATGCTCTTCAGTGATTCTAGTCTAAAACTTCAAAGGATATTTTGAGCATATGTAGAAGTAGTTTTGAAAGATGACTGGTGGTGGTAGAGGACTGAGTCCAGTTCTATGGATCCTGTGAGTTCAGGGTTAAGGATGAGGGCACTCTTGCTTCAGAGAACCCTGAATCTAGAACATAAGAACCACTTAGAGTCCAAGAAAACATGCTGGTGGTTAGAATCAGAAACCTATATTCCAATGGGTGCAGTAGGCAGACTTAAGGTGGATAATTAAGGAGTGATGGGAAAAGACAATTAGAAATCCAGAGATCAGGAAAATGAGAGATAGTCTGTACAAATACTGCTGAAGAGAGCAACTAGTCTTTGCCTATGATTTTGCCCATAGACATCTATTGCTTGGGTGGGTCAGACTGACGCTGAGTCCCAGTGAAACAGATTTATAGGGATCCTCACTATTTCCCAGAATCAAGACCGCCCTCATGAAAAAGCAGACAGCAACTTGGCTTGCTATCGTCTCATTCTTTTGGGTGTGATGCTATTAGAAATAAGGGAAAATTGGTCTCCACATTTAATGCTATTATTTTACCATGCCTTGAAAAATTTCTTGCATCTTTATAAATAGAGTTACAGCTTATGTATTGGAAGGAATTTGAACCAACACTTTAAAAATGCTTAGGTGTGTGACTCAAACATAAAATTTATTATCTTATTCAGATTGATGGCTTGGTAGTCAAAATAAAGGCCTCTAACTTGAGCTCACAAAACAAATCAAATCACTCAGGATAGAACAAGTCTATCTATTTTTAGAAAGACATTTGGTATAGATAGGGAGAAAAGAACGTCACTGAATTGATAATTCTAGGATTAAAGTTCATAAACTTAAAAGATTTAGAGATGAAAGAGTCATATGAAGGTTATTATCTTATAGTAGTTCTGGTTCAATTTGTCCTAGTTCCAAATTAAGACAATTTACAGAGGTAAAGGCTTCTGGAATCAGAGAGAGGAAAGGAATTTTTCCTGTGTCAAGAAACAGCATGTTGATTTCACTATTTGAAAGTCCCTAGTGCCTGTTGTTTGCATTGCTGTACCGTCATGCTCAGCACGGGGTCTAGAGTCTGGAACACAGTAGATGATCAATAAACATTCACTAAATGAAAGAGGTGATTCAACCAAACCCCACAAGAATAGATTCTAGCGGAGAACACCATCATTGTCATACAGTGGCTTCACTAAAATGGGCTGCAGTTTACACCTTAACCAGACTCTTTACTTTCAGCCACATTCTCAAGGGGAGGTGTTTTTTGTTTTTTTCCGTTTTCTTTCTCTGAATGTTGTCAGAAGATTTGGCCTACGTCCAGATACTTTAAGTGCTGCAAGAATCGTAACATTTATGTTGCTTTTTAAAAATAGCTAGTGCTCAAAGTGTAGTACTCCATAAGGATGGTACTTGTTCAAAAGAATCATTCATGCTACTCCCCCCCCCCACCTCTTTTTTCTTAAAACAGGATAGAGACTCTTAATGGAACAATGATTCTCAAAAGAACAGAGCTTGAAGCAAAGCTGCAAGTTTTAAAGGTAATTTAATTTAATACAGTGAGGCACATTTTTCATCCTTGACTGTGTGATCGGTAGAATAAAGATCTATTTGAGGAGTTGAGATAGCCCTTGAAGATGAAATGTCGTGATGAGTCTAAGCTGAATTATCAAGAGCCACACAATTACCTTCGCAGGAATATTAAATTCCACAAACCAGTGCAAATCGCTTCCTTCCTTCCTCTGTGTGTCTGTGAGGCTCAGAAAGGCAACAGGAAGGCACGTGACTTGAAGAACTTTTCATTAATGCACCTGTGATCTCTCTTGATTTACATTTTGTTTGGAAAAAACAAAGAAGGAGGAGCTGGTCTTCTCATTTTCCCAAGTGCTGCATGTGTGTGCAGGAAGGCTGGAATTTTTGCTTTTCCCCCGTCCTCCTCTGTGTCCTTCCGTTCTGCCTCATTCTTACTACAAAAATCACCTCCTTCTACTTCTGTGACTGTCCTTGAATTTATTTTTATTGGCAAACACACTGTCAACTTCGAAGAGGAAAAATTAAAGTTTCCAGGAGTTAGTGGACAATGCAGGGTTTTCAGTGGAAATTCCCAGAATGGCTCTTTGCGGGTCTTAAAAATCTTAGTTTGCTATACTGATGTGGTTCTGCCAGGCCTTGAAGTCCAGACCCTCACTCATGAGCATCTGAGTTGTAGCCTTCAGACCCCTGCCCCAACCCCAACTGACCTCTTTATCCAGTGCTCCCCGCTGCATGGCAGGGAGGCGTCTGTCTGCGCAGACTGCACAGGCAGGGTGCTCATGTGGACTTTGTTTAGCAATAGCTGCCATTTACTAGTTTTCTTCATGAAGTATCCCCTTCACAATTATTGAGCCCTTAGTTACTGGAGGTAGAGTTCCTATATTTCTATTTCTATTTTGTCTTTTGTATTCCTCTCTTCCTTCACGTCTAATTCATCAACCAGCCCTGTTTTCTTCTTTGTCAACATTGGTTTTATGTTCCTCTTATTTTACTTATCGCTGTGATTTTTTTGACTCAATTTGTAAATTTCCTTGAAAAAAATCCTCAGTTCAGATTTTGGCAGCAATTGCATTGCATTCATAGAATAAGTGAGATCAATTGATACCTTTACTGTTTTCACTTCAAACACAGGATCTCAATCTTTTCATTCAGGTCTTTTATGTACTTCAAAGACATTTTGTAATTCCTTCACACATTTTTACATCTTTTATTATATTTATTCTTATGTACTTCTAATTTTTATTGCTATAGTAAATATGATCTTTTAATTTTTCAGCTGCTTATTGCTGTTGATTTTTGTGTAAATTTTTAAATCCAGTAGTCTTGGTGAGCTGCCTTTATTCTAATATGTTTGTAGATTCCCTTAGATTTTCTATATAGATATCATATCATCTGTGGATAATGAAAGTTTTGCCCCTTTACCCCCAATCATTCAACTAGTTTATTTTCTTCTCTTATAACATTGGTTAGGACCTTCAGTATTTTTTAAATAGTGATAGTCTTATTCTTGACTTTAAAGGGAATGCCTCTAACATTTTATTATACATTTTTGTAAGGAGGAAACAGTGCTTCATTGTATGTAGGTTTTTAAAACTGTCAAAAGTTAATTTGTTTTTTTCAAAATGGAGATAGTGAACATCTTTTTTTAAAAAAAAGTAAAACTGGTTTCTTTCAACCTTTTGTAGAAAAAGGAAAGAAATGTACAAAATAAACTGGTGATGTTATCTAAAACATAAGTAAAAAATAGTTTTATATTTCATGGAATAAAATAGTGTCTTGCACAACACATATTTCATGCTTCTATGCAATTTCTGCTCTTTGAACGTTTTCTCTTGAAGTTTTAATATATATACGTAACTATTATTTTTTCTAACAATGTATGAATTTTTCAGTATCTCCATCCTCTCCCAGAACATCACGAGGACCTTAACATGCTTTAAATGTCCATGTCAGACCTCATCTTCTTTATTATTGCTTACTTTATGGAAAATTTTGTCAATTTTTGAAATGAAAAAATATAGGTTTTTGTTCTAAATAGCTGGTATACAAATATACTAACCTGTTGAATTGATGTGCTTGCTGTCGTTTTTTTATGTTCTGTTCCCTACCTCTGGGCTTGCTCTCCTTCTTGCTGTCGTACTTCCTCTGGGGAGGGCAAGCAGGTCTTTCTTTGTCAAAAAGATATCTTTATTTCACCACTACTGTCGAAGGAGAGTTTTACTGGGTAACTGTATTATTCTAAATTGATATTTCGTTCCCTTAGCACTTTGGATGTATTCCTTCTTTGATATTTTTGTTCATGAGCGAGCTCCTAATTGTTTATCATTCATAATTAATCTGCATTATCTATATTTTCTTCTACAAGTTTTAAAGTTTTTCCTTTTTACGTTTAAGTCCTTAATTCACCCAGAATTAATTATTGTATAGAGCTGGAGATAGGATTCCAATTTTATTTTTTTCCACATGAACACTCAGTTCTCCCACACCATTATTTTATGGAACTCCATTTCCCTCAACTGACCGGCAGCGAAACCTCTATTTTTAAGCCAGTTGCATATATGCACGGATTTTCTTACAGGCTCCCAATTCTGATCCACTGGTTGATTTGTTTATATAAAACTCAGTTAGTATACCTGGTAATAAATCTTGATATTTCACTGGGCAAGCTTTCCAGGTTATTCTTGGTTTTTTGATCTTCTATATAAATTTTAGAATCAGATTGTCAAGTTCCCATAAATAAGCGTTAGAATCTTGGTTGGTATCACATTTTATATAGATAGATAAATTTTAGGAGATGATATCCTTATGGTGTGCATTTTCTCACTGATGGATGATCTCACCATTTTTGTTTTCTTTATGTTTTTCAATAAAGTCTTATAATTTTATGCAAATAGATCCTATATATCTTTTGTTAAGTTTATTCCTTTGTAACTTATGATTTTTTGTTCGTATTATAGTTTCTTTATAAAAATTTGATCTTTTAATTGAGATTAATGTAATGGATATGTAAAATAAATTTTTCTATGCTGTAATTATAATCAAACACCTTGCTAAACTATATAATTTCTAGTAAATTATCTATAGATTATTTTGGGTTTCCTATGAACATAATAACTATATAGTAAGAATGACATTGGGTTCTTTTTCTTACTTTACTACACTGGCTGAGGCCTACAATACAATTATAAATAGGAACTATGATAGTAGGCATTCCTGTTTTGTTCTTGACTTTAAGGGGAATTCTTTTGACTCTTTTCTATTAGGAATGAGTTCTTTTTATGAATATACTTTTCGGGTTAAGGAGGCTCCCTTCTATACCAAGTTTGCTGATAGTTTTTATAGAGCTTGTGTATTAAATTTTATCAAAAACTTTTCTCTGCATGTGTTAAGATGACCCTCTCGTTTATTTTTAAAAATCTATCAATACAATGAGTGACATGTAAAGATTTTCTAATATAAAGCCACTCTTGCGTTCTAGAATAAACTCAACCTGTAACTTATAATCATCTTTTATATACTTGCAGATTTGATTTGCTGACATTTTCTTTAGAACTGTTGAGGGCAGCTTCATTTTACAGGTAGAATGGCCTGTAATTTTCTTTTCTCAGTCTATCTTCCTTTAGTTTTAGTCTCCAGTTTACTGGACTTTTAGCATGATCTGGGGACTATCTTCCCCTTTTTTCCCCTTTGGTAGAGTTCTTGTAACGCTATCTGAATTAGCTGTGCTTGAGCCTCATTTTTGGTGGAAAGACTTCTAAACTCTGTTTCAGTTTCATTATTAGTTATAAGACTGCCTAGGCTTTCTGGTTTTGGTTTTTGGGCCTATTTATTGAATTATGTTTTTGTTAATAAAGTTTTTAAATTTTCGAATTTCTGGCATGAAGTTGATAATAAACATTCTCTTCTCATCTTTCTCTTTTCTATCACAACTGTGATTATGTTCCATTTTTATTTGTACTACTTTTTATGCCTTCTCTTCTTTTTATTCTTTGTAATTCTCTCTAGAGTATTTTCTATTTTTGAGTCTTTTCAAAAACTGGTATTTCAATTTGTGGCACTGGTTCATCTTTTTCTGGTTGCTTTTAAGATGTTCTTTTGTCTTTATTGATCTACAGTTTCACCACAGTTTGATAAGGTCTGGACTCATTTCTCCATTTATACTGCTTAGAATTTGCAGTGCCCTTTCAATCTAAAGACTTGTGACTTTCTTCATTTTTGGAAAGCTATCAGCTCCATCTCTTTAAATATACCTTCTTCACCATTCCTTGAATTATCTTCTGGTATTTCTGTTAGACATATTTTAGTTTCTTGATTTATCTTCCATGCTTCCAAACCACTCTTTCATATTTTATATCACTTTATCTTTTTTGTGATTTTTTAAAAAATTCGTTAGTATTATCTTCAATAATGTTGTGTTCTGTATAGAATGTGTTCTTTCTATTGAGTTTTTTTTAAAGATTGGCACCTGAACTAACAACTGTTGCCAATCTTCTTTTTTTTTTCTCCTTTCTTCTTCTCCCCAAAGCCCCCCAGTACATAGTTGTATATTCTAGTTGTGAGTGCCTCTGGTTGTGCTATGTGGGATGCCACCTCAGCATGGCCTGATGAGTGGTGCCATGTCCGCACCCAGGATCTGAACCCGTGAAACCCTGGGCCGCCAAAGTGGAGCGCGTGAACTTAACCACTTGGCCATGGGAATGGCCCCTTTCTATTGAGTTTTAAAAATTGATTTTTTTAAATTTTCAAATAGTTATTTTTCATGTCTATCTGTCCATGTTTTATTTATTTGTTTCAAGTTTCTTGTTCTTATGAACATTGATCTCATTTCTCTCTCAGAGGATTATAAATATTCTTGTTTTAAAGTCTTCATTGAACACTTTTCTATTTTCATTGTATTTGGAGAGAATCCATGTACTGACGATCAGTTTAGTTGTCTCTCTTGTCACTAGATTTCTGAGGGTGTTTTAGAGTTTAGCTTGCCCACTTCCCTTGCACGGTGGCCTCTTCCTTCTGCTCAGTGTGATAGTTAGGCAGTTGCCTCTGTTCTGCGCTTCAAGACTTCCAACCCAGAGCCAGGTCTGGTGGCATGGATGTCTCCTCTGGAGGGTCACTGTGCTGCCTGGCCCAGGTCATGAGGGTGCATTTATGTACTCCTGCCTCTCTAGGTACAAGCTCTACATGAACCATCAGCAGTTTTTCTCAGCCTCCTTTTCACGATGATGGAGCTTTAGCCAAGGTTCTTTTCTCTAGCAGGAAACTTATCTCTGTTCTCCGCCTCAGATAAGTGCATTTAAACTATATATCACTGTAGGATTCAAATCGCTAGATGCCTCTTTCTGCTTTTCCAGGTCCAGCAGACCTTTGGGTTCATTCCTGCTTACCTTCTTGCATTTCTGTTTCTTTTCTAATCTTGAAATTACAAGATTTCCAGTTCATCCCTGGAGCCAGAAATGCCTGGGTCTGACCTATAACCAAGGTGAGGCTGGCTTCCCCTTCACACAATGACATTTAGTTTGTGCGTTCTATGTAAATGTGTATTCTGCCCTTCCAAGACTCTTTGTGAGGCCAGGAGCTCTTCTTTAGAAGTGATAGTCCCTTCTGAGCCATGTTTTCAGGGATTCCCTTTCTCATGACCTATGATTCAAATGTTCAACATGAAAACAGCACATCCAATGTGTTGGGGGAGCTATTTTTTAATCTAGTTCTGCTATTTAATGAGTTTATAGCCCTTGGGAAATATTTTGCTACATTGAATTTTTATTTTCTAATCTCGAACTTTTTAGGACAGTCAGGAAGATTAAACAGTATATTATTCGTGAAAGCACTAGGAAAATAGTAAACCACCATGGAAATGTTTAGCTATATGTCTAACGTAGGTTGAAACATTGGAAATATATCCAATCCAAAATATCTAATGTGTGATAATTGAGTGTTGTTTCAGGAAGTCGTTCTTTTATATATTCATTCAACCAATGCTTAATGAGCAGCTGCTGTGTACCAGGCACTGAGCAAGGCTCCATGAGGTGCTGTGGCTCAGGTTGCTTAGATCTCCCAAGTGCTTTAGTTTTCTTTTAATGGTGAGAGGTTAGAATTGTGCAAATATGCAACTGTGATGTTAATAACAGGCAGCAACAGACTCTGAGGAAAATAGGGAAGCTTAGATATAGACTCAAAACTCTGAGTCACTTTGACACATCTGATCTTTACATTGGTATTTTCTTGGTTTAAGTGATGACATACTTAGATGACTGGGCGAAATCAACAGATTAGATATTTTAAAACCCTTATTTTCAGAAAAATCACCTATTTGGTAAGCCCTGACTTTGTATTTCTGGATAGTAAGTACAGAAATACAACTACCTCTTCTCTCTCTATTTAGTTTTGACGGTAAACCTGTCCTTATGCTCCCTTCCTGGACTCTGTTCTCTTGCAGGAGATAAATTTCTTTGAGAAAGAAGAATGGGCTTGGTATATATGCCAGATCCTTGCTAGTTTTCCACTCCCTGGGTCCCTGATTCTAACCTTCACGTGACCACTGGTTTACACAGATAACAAGAGCTGCGATCCAGGCAGCCCAGCAGTCTCATAGCCAGATAGACTATATTATAGCACAGAAAAAACGAGAACTTAACTGAGCCAGGCATTTTATAGCTTTGATTTATTCCTTGCATATTATTTTAACAACCACAAGGATTGCTGCTAAATGTTACTATTGTTTAGACTTGGAAATTCTGCCCAGAGATTGCTCAGTCCCTGAACTGAGGAACCAGCAATTTTCCCTTACACATTTAATAACGTATGTGTAATGTCATCATTTTCTTTTCTTTGGGCTTCCCCTCCCAAATACACGTTTTTTTTCTTTTCCTTTTTAGTCTTCATCTGCCCCTTCCAGATTACTTTGTACAAAGGACCACTTGTTTCCAACGAGGCTGCCTTTCCTTTGGGATAAGCGTCCACAGGCTAATCTGAGCTGTGCCTGCCTGCTGGGCTTGCTGTGGGGACTGAAATGGCAAAGGAAGGGGTGGAGCAGAGGACTGAGCGGGAGGGGGAAGGAACCTTTGACTGTGCCTCGTCAGGTGCCTTCTACCTGGTTTGTTTTCGATTCCCATCCTCAGCCTCGTCTGTGGGCTAGGCCAGGCCTCACGTGTAGTCTTGACCTTTAAAGCAGCCACTTCGTTCCCACCCCGGGCCTCCGCTCTTGTGTGCCAGGCAGCCAAGGAAGGAAGCAGTTAAGAAGCTACGGTGTGGCGCTGGCCCAGTGGCGCAGCGGTTAAGTTCTCACATTCCACTTGTCAGCGGCCCGGGGTTCCCCGGTTCGGATCCTGGGTGCGGACATGGCACCGCTTGGAACACCATGCTGTGGTAGGCATCCCACATATAAAGTAGAGGAAGATGGGCATGGATGTTAGCTCAGGGCCAGGCTTCCTCAGCAAAAAGAGGAGGATTGGCAGTAGTTAGCTCAGGGCTAATCTTCCTCAAACAAAAGAAGTTAGGGTGCTTAGCAGTGTTCTAAGTTTAGTCCTTCAGGGAAGTCTTTCAGAACAGGTCAGCTTCCCTTTTTTGGTGTGGAAGATAAATCAATGTCCAGCAAAACAGACTGTTTTAGCGCCTCAGCCTTATAGGCTGATGATGGTATTTATTGAATATTTCTTAAATTCTGGTCACTCTTCTAAACATTTTACTTCTACTAACTCATTTAATCTTCATGTCAGTCCCAGGGTTTAGGTTCTCTTATGGTTGTCCTCTTGCAGATGGGTGAAACCTAGAGTGTAAATCTTTGCCTAAACAATAGTAAATGACGCAAACCTAAGCAATCTGGTTCTATAATATTTTTAAAAATGAAGATATATAAACGTCATTGTTTCTATTGTCTATTGTTTCTGTTGAAACAATGTCATGGTTTCAACTTGTTGGTGCTACTAGATTTTTTTCTTGAGAAAGTAGTATTCCCAATATCCCTCTTTAATGAAGAAAATGATCTTTCAAATGAACAGAAGGGTTGCTAGTGCTAGAAAGAAAAGAAAAAATTTTAATGACAACTCTCAACACCTAGAAGTCAATTGCTGTCTTCACTGGGGTTTCCTATAATGAGTATTTTTTTTCCTTCTTTCTCACAGCAAACTTTGAAGAAGAAATGGGTGGAGTTCAGATCTCTGCAGTTACAGGAACACCGCCTGCTTCATGGTAAATGCGATTTCCTGTTGAGAAACCACCTAACATTTCATCCTTACAGTATTTCTGCCTCTAAGTTGTTTTAAGATTATTATCATTACAAGAAAAAATTGTTTAGCATGGATCAAGAATACTAGTATGTGTTTCTTTGGCGTGAGCTTTGGAGTGACCTGTGTATTTGGAGGAGGGGTAAGTTAAGTCACTCCCCCTCCTCCATACACGTAACACGTATGCACATGCAAACATGCACATGCATGCACACACTTGCAAGAGGCACCTGGTGATTTTAAAAGAACAGGAGGAATGATTGCCTAATTTTCCTACCACTGCAGCAGATGAATTAAATTCCTGAGAATGTTCATGGCTTAGAGGCTTCATAGTTGTCAGAAACTATTGAGACTGGAAGGGTAGCACGCTTCTTGGGTAGAGCTCCTGTCATTTGTTCAAATTGTGTAACTTGCATTGATGCAGAGAAATCCTTCTTCAAGGCCTCTAAACCCAAGGCAGAAATGTGAACGATCATCGTTAATGGTAAATGCATGGCTCTTGCCACTGTGTGCTTTCTGAAGGGGAGGTTTGGGTTTAAAATTTGTTGATTTGATATGTGCTATGTGACTGGTATAATCTGCAGAATGAACTGGTATGTACAAATAGTTCACTGAAACCACTGGCCATGTGGGTTTGAAATATAAGTTATATCTCCTTCAGATAATACTGAGCTAAAGTCTCTATTTATAACTAGAACATCTGTTAAAAGTGATAATCTGTTTAAAAAAAAAAAGGTACGTTTAATTCTTAATTAGGCACTAATTTATGGCTTAGAGATTTGTGTTGAAGGTATGTGTCTTTAAAAAATGAAACATATGAATTACTTCTCTTTTTTATGTTAACATTTTAACAAAATTCATAATAGATTTTTTGGGGGTCTGAAGTTTGCTAGCAAGACAGAGGTACAAAATCCAACCACTGCCTGGATTTCCATAGACTTGAGGATGTTTGGGAAACCTTTGCCTCCACTTCTGGAGCATCCTGGACTGGAAATGGGGTTTGACTTGCGAAGTGTAGGCAGTCCTGGTGTTCGATGGCAATGGCCTTGCTTAGTTCAGGATCGAGAAGATTGACGCCTCGTAAGGTCATTGTTGTACACATTCTTTGAGAGATTGAAGGAATTCTTCTTTAGTTTACTTTCTCTAGACCTAGAATAAATATCTAGGGCATGAGACTCGACAAAGCAATTTCTCTCCAATCAAAAGAAATTCATCAACTCATTGCAAGATGAAATAGGAGGCTGCATTAGCAAAAAGGAAAGCATTATGACTTGTCACTGCAGGGCTGGCCATATTCAACCTTGCACATCAAGTGGAAAAATAAACAGTCTCTTCTTGTATTGCCCACCAAGGACGAAAAAGAGCAGCAGTAGAGATAATCAGCACAAAATAAAACCACTTCTGAGTGTGCAATGTTCTAGTACTTTTCCTGAAGCAGAGTCACCTTCTAATTATATCGTTCTCAGTCTGGTATTACAAATAATCTCCTTTCTTTCAGCAGCCTAACAACCAACTCAGATAGTGCAGAAGCAAGTGGGGTACGGACAGGATGTTGATGTGTGATTAAAATTTGAGTTTGGAGAGCCCAGATGTAGGTTATAAAAGGTTGATGAAAAAATTCAGCTAAGCAGATAAAGTTCAGCTTCTTCAAATGAATTATTACTTATTTGAGGACAGGGATGTTTTCTGGATATAGTACCATTCTAGAGCTTTTAAGTATGAAAGTATTCTAAGAAGAAACTTGGAGTCTCGAGGCTGGAAGATACCCTTTCTGTTTTAAACACCTTTGAATTCTCTATAATCAGCCTACAGGTGCAGGTTTTAAAACTGTATTTCCCATACACTTCAAATGAAGTTATAATAATTTTACAATTATTAAAAAAAGACATTAACTAAAAATGAGAAGAACTAAATGGAGAAAATTCATAACACAACATTTCCCCAAGTATATTCTTTAGAACCCCATTTCTGTGAGAATTTTAATAAAAGTTTGCAGGGTCACTTCAGTTTAAGAAGTGATCCTTTTGGAGATTCACAAGTCACACTGGTGTACTGTTAGATGAGTTGAACTATTCTCATATGAAAGATCTTGTTTAGATTTATTTAATCCAGGATTACCATTTCCTGACCGTGGAATCCTTTTACATGGAAGCTAGTCCACAAACAATAGTTTGGGAAACACTACTGTAAGATTTCTCAAATAGCCTCATACAACAGTCACTAGTTCACGCAAATCAAAGCTTAGTGAAAAATATTATCCACCATTACTCTTTCTTGTGCCTTTTGAAAAGAAATTTTGGTGTATTTACTTGTAGAGGGTGACGTTCAGATCTTTTCCACAGTAGACTTTGTTTTCTGCATTCTAGGTGATGCCACTAACTGCCCAAGTTTGGAAAACATGGACATAGATGAATCAACTTTGTTTGGAAGCCTGCCTGGGCTGGGCCCAGCCCTCCTGGACCGGAATCGATTATCCAGTGAGAGCAGCTGTAAGAGCTGGCTGAGCTCCATGACCTTGGACAGCGAGGATGGGTACCAGACATGTATCTCTGAGGACTCGAGCAGGGAAGCCTTCAGCCGGCAGACAAGCACAGATGATGAGTGCTTTGTCCCCAAGGATGGGGATGATTTTCTGAAGAGGTCTTCTTCGAGGAGGAACCGCAGCATTAGTACTGCCAGCAGTGGATCCATGTCTCCGTTGTGGGAGGGCAATTTCTCAAGCATGTTTGGGACCCTGCCCAGGAAAAGCAGAAGGGGAAGTGTCCGGAAACAACTCTTGAAATTCATCCCTGGCCTTCACCGTGCTGTGGAAGAGGAAGAGAGTCGCTTTTGATGGGTTGTGGCACCCTTACGTATTAGCTTATTTTGTAAATATCTCTAGACTTGATTAGATCAACTCCACCCAGCTTGGTGGGAAAGTGCAGATGGATTGCAGAACTGACGTGCCATTTCTTGGCAGTAGTGACCTTTATTTAAATTTTCGTATCATTATTTTTGCTTCTTAAATCATTTTTCAAACAGAACAGCTCAAATTAGAAATAGATAGTAGAAGGGGAAAGTAAGTAATAAGTTAGATAATATTACAAATTAACGCAAGTGCCTGCTCATTCTAATGCTTCCAGTGAATGCAAGAGTAATATTTATTTTCTAGATTATCCACGTGAAAAACCAGAACTTTTGGAGTCATGTGAATAAGAGAATAACAGAATCTAATCACTTTGGAATACCTTTTGTAAGTTAATAGGTAGGTTACAAAACTCTATGTTTGCTTAAGCTCAGTAGCCTCTGAGAAGGCTTAAGAGTAGGCAATTTTGAATGTTTCTGTTCAAATCTATGAAGGATTATAAACAAAGATGATCGCCAGCCATTTTTTGCATCCACAGTGACGATAAAGCAGGAAGTATAAGAGTTAATATGAGGATTTAAGCTTCACAAGATCCATGGAAAAACGTTGTCTGAGATGGGTGCTGAGGAAGATTATAATAAGGTCTTTTTTATAGGCAGCCTAATCAAAAAGGTTTGGAATGTCATTCTCACCTGATTCAACTTTTGTTCTGCTGAACCATGATGACAAGTCTAGAACTCTCAAGATCCTACAGCTTTGTGATATTTTTTGAACAAATGTCTGAAAGTTGAAAAATTAGATTCAGGAAAAAGATTTTCCTCCTGTAGTTTTTCTCACATTAATCCTCACTTTATATTGTATGTTCCAAATAATTACTGCCTCAGCACTCTTTTGCCTATTAGTTTTGTCAATATCACATTACTTCTAACCTTTCAATCACATTTTTATTCGATACCCATTAAAGTTCATGATTTCTCTGTTCTGGTGATACGGCTGCTCTTTGCCTATATTCTAGAGCAGATGATCCAGACAATGTAATAAATAGTCCTTACTGATTTTAAGTTGTGTATGTGTGTATGTTTGAGAGAAATAGAGACATTTGATAGTTGCCTGTGAATGGAACTGCTACACTTACATAAACTGAGTAAAGAACCAGTTATTTTGAGTAACAAAAGAGGGGAAGGTAGGAAAGCTTGTGGGGTAAGAAATAAATAAAATAAAATATAAAAGATTTCTAATGGCACCTACTTTCTATTAATTCTTTGAACTCAGAAGCATCCTGTGGGCTCTGCTTGAGCATCATCCCTATGAAAAGCAATGTACGGTGTGCTTCACATGAACAATAACAATCCTGTGTACCATTTACTAGATGCCTAGTAGGTTAAAGATGCTTTTCATGTGATCTCTGAAATAACCCTGTAGACAGGTGTTAGGCATACAGACAAGGAAGCAAGAATTTGGAGAAACTCCCATGGTCAGTGGCAGGGCTGAAATTGGAAGCCGGTTGTAGATATTGCATGGATAAGGATATTGTCTTTGGTAAATAGGAAAACAAACACATTTAGGGTGACTTTTTCTCCTGGTCTCCACAAGCAAGTTTTCAGATATAGGCATATTGATAACTGCATGGTTAGCAATACATTGATTTCCAACAAGAGCTTGCAAACCAGTTGTGATTCAACTGATATTGCTTATTTCTCATCACAGACTAGAATCATGATGTTAAAGATCTGCTTGCTTGAATGCAGCATTTCCTGTTAATCCTATTTTGCCAAGTCCAGGGGAAATAAATACCACATTTGTTTGAGGAAAGATGACTTTAAACTATTCTACAATGTGAACAAGGTTTGGATTATTACCACACGTCATCTCCATCACTGGTCATTTGCTTTTCCGGTGGCTTTATGTGTTAAATATGATGTAATACTCTTTCTTAGAATAAACGTCAAACCCAAAAAGGCACAGGGAAGGGACAGAGCAAGTTTCACTGTAGACTGTGATAAGAATTAGAGTCAAGGGTTAGATATGTTCTGGAAAAAAAGAAAAGCACTTTTTAACCAAAGTACAGGAAGCAAGGGTATGTCATGTTTTGTGTGTTCACAAGTTGTAAGAAAACCAGCTGCTGTTTGTGGAAATGTGGGTAAATTTCTCACAGCATAGCTTTTCAAACTTGACCTCAGTGGGGCTTTAGAAGATTTTATTTCTCTAAACTTCTCATGCATAATGACTCACTTTGATGTAATTTACTGAGAAAAGAAAAATGAGGTTTCTTTTTTTCCCTAACGTTGTCAAATATGTGATATTGGTGAATTACATTAATTGACAATTTGTTTTTAAAGTTCATTTTTCTACTATGGCATTGAAAGCCAAACTTGAATCTAGTGTGGCTTTGATAAACCAAATTTGAAATAAACTTTTATTCGTCACTTTGTACTTTGCAATACTTACATATCTTAGTTGCATGACACGAGAGTATTTAAAATCTTAGTTTGAACTGAAGAAATAAAACTTGGACACAGTTTGTGTGTCCTGATCATAAAGTATAACTATTTATGGATATATACAATCTAAGCACAGTAAATAATACATAACAAGTATATTGAACCCTTCAGATCACAAAATTATTGGTACTCTATATCCATTTCCTTGCAGAACTATGGACAATAAAACACAAATTTGATACTTTTATGAAATAATGAATGCTATTCTTCAGTGTCAGAACTTTCTCCCTTCTCTCTTTCTCTTTATCTCTCTTTACCTACCTACCTTAAATGCAACAGTTATTTTAAAAGAAGATTTGTTAAAATCTGGGGTGACTGCTTGACACCTAACTCTTTGAGGTTCTTAAAAGGCATTACCTACTTAATTGAGGCTTTGCACTTGTATTAGCTTTCTGTTGTTGCTTACAAAATTACTGAAAACTTGGAGGCTTAAAACATATTTATTATCTCAAAGTTTTCATGGGTCAGGAGTATGGGCAAAGCTCAGCTGGGTCTGCTAAGGGTCTCACAAGGCTGCACTCAAGATGTCACCCAGGATTGAGTTTTAAACTGGAGGCTTGACTGGGGAAGGATTTACGACTAAGCTCTCTCAGGTTGTTGTCAGAATCATTTCCTTGTCACCATAGGATTCATGGCAGCTTGCTTATTAAAAGCCAGCAATGGAAAGAAAGAGAAGGCACTGCAAACAAGACAGAGTAGTAAGTACTGCAATGTAACCACAGGAGTGGCGTCCCATCACCTTTGCCATATAGCAGAACATAATCACGGGAGTGACATCCCGTCAACCGTGCCCTGTTCTGTTAGGTGGAAGTCACAGGACCCACCCATACTCAAGAAGTGGGGATTACACAAAGGCATGAACATCAGGAGGTGGGATCAGTGGGCTGCCTCAGAGTCTGTTTACAACCCTATTCAAGGAGTTCACAAATTTGATAATAGAAAGATATTGAGTCGGCTCTAAACTCCTTTGAGTAAAAATAAATGGTAAGTGTTATCATTTTTAATTTTTATATAGAGAAATAGTAAGATTAAAGATCTTTGAAATTAAAGAACCTGGTCAATAACGTATGACTAGCCAAAAAGCTGAGTAGGAAGCCGAATCCAGTTCTATGATTCACCTCCCAATTTTGTCCATGAGGCGCATGCGATGATGGGCGATTTTAAAAGAATATTAAGGAATGAACTAGTTACTTGCTTTCAAATTTTGCTCAGGGAATCGTAGTGTATTAAAGTTAATTCAGTGATTGGCGTGCTGGACTTTATCACTTCCATGTGAGTACATCTTTATGAGCAAAAGGCAGGAATTCCACAGAGAAACAATACAAAACTCTCATAATCAAAACTACAAAGCACAAAAGGAAGAGATCAACCAGGAGGAAAAGTCAGGAGATAGCACAAACAGCAGAATTATCAGAACTTGAGAAAATAAATCAGTTTGAAAGAATTTAAAACATGTGAATCTTAGGAATAGAGGATAAGTCCCTCAACCTGATTAAAGAACATCTACAAAAACCTATAGCTAATGTCATTATGGTGAAAAACTGGATGCTTTGCCCCTAAGACCAGGTACAAACCAAGAATGTCCTGTCATGACTTCTATTCACCATTATACTGAAAGTCCTAGCTAGTGCACTAAGACAAGAAAAGAAAATAAATGTACACAAATAGGGAAGGAAGAAATGAAACTGCTTTTGTTTGCAGATGGCGTGACTTTCTGTGTGGAAAATCCCAAAGAATCAAGAACAATAACAAAAATCCTGAAACTAATAAGTGAGTACAGCAAGATCACAGGATACAAATTACTATACAAAGTCAATTTATTTCCTATATATCAGCAATAAACAACTGGGATTTGAAATTAAACAAACAATGCCATTTACAATAGTACCAAAAAAAGAAATACTTAGGTGTAAACTTGATAAATTATGAACAAGATCTATATGTGGAAAACTCTGATGAAAGAAATCCAAGAGAATCTAAATAAATAGAGAGAGATTGTGTGTTCACGGATTGGAAGATTCAATAGTGTTGAGATGTCAGTTCTTCCTCATTTAATCTACAAATTTAGTGAAATCCCCAAATCAAAATTTTAGCAAGGTATTTTGTAGACATTGACAAACTGATTCTAAAGCTTTTATGGAAAAGCAAAAGCCCTCAAACAGTCAATGTACTACTGAAGAAGAAGAAGAAAGAGGAGGAGGAAGGGGTGGAGGAGGCAAAGAAAGCTGGAGTAATACTCAATTCTAGACTTTTTATAAATCTACAGTAATGAAGACAGCATAGCATTAGCAAAAGAATAGATATATAGGTCAATGAAACAGAACAGAGTGTCCAGAAATAGACCCAGACAGATAGAGCCGCTTATCTTTCACAAAGGAGCAAAGGCAGTTAAATGGAGAAAGAACAGTGTTTTCAACAAATGGTTCTGGAACAATTACACAGTCCTGTGACTCCATTTAACTGCCTTTGCTCCTTTGTGAAAGTTCTGGAACAACTGCACAGTCCTGTGAAAGACTTTACACATTTCACAAAATTAACTCAAAATGGATCATAGACCTAAATGTAAAACATAAAACTTCTATAGGATAACACAGGAGAAGTCTAGATGTCCTTGAGTTTGATGATAAGTTTTTAGATACATCAAAAGGATGATTCACGAAAGAAGAAGTTGATACATTGGACTTTATTAAAATTGAAAACTGCTTCAGGAAGGATATTGTTAAGGGAATCAAAAGAAAAGTCATAGATTGGGAGAAAAGATTTGTAAAACACATATTTGAAAAAGGACTTGTATTTAAAATATAAAAAGAACATTTAAAACTCAAAATAATAACCAACCCAATTAAAACGTGTTCAAAAGATAAGAACAAACATGTCTCTAAGGATGATATATAGATGGCAAATAAGTACATTAAAATGGCTCAATATCTTTTACCATTTGGGATTTGCAAATTAAAATAATGGGATACTATTACATGGCTATTAGGGTCATTAAGATCCAAAAAACTGACAATACCAATTGTTGGCAAGGATGTGGAGTGACAGGAATGATCTTTCAATGCTGATGGGAATGCAAAATGGTACAGCCACTTTGGGAGACAGTTTAGCAGTTATTTTACAAAGCTAAACATAGTCTTATCATAAAATCCAGCAACCACACCTTAGGTATTTACCCAGCTGATGGGAAAATTTATGTCCGCACAAAAACCCACAGACAAATATTTGTAGCAACTTTACTCATAAACACCAAAAACTGGAAGCAACTAAAATGACCCTTAATAGATTAATGGATAAACAAACTATGGTGTATCCATACAATGCAATATTATTCAGCTATAGAAAAAATGAAGTGTCAAGCCAGTAAAAGGCATGATGAATCTTAAATGCATGTTGCTAAGTGAAAGAATCTGGTCTGAAAGGGCTACATACTGTATGGTTCCATTTATATGACATTCTGGAAGAGACAATACCATAGCAATAGTAAAGAGAATCAGTGGTTTCCTAGGGTTTCAGGGTGGGGTAGGTGGTATGTGTGTGTGGCGAATGTTGAATAGATGTAGCACTGGTGAGTTTTACAGAGTTTTCTTAGTCTACTTGAGCTACTGAAAAAAAAATACCGCAGACTCCGTGGCTTATACATCAAAAGTTTACTTTCTCACAGTTCTGGAGGCTGACTGCTGAGCAGAGCCTTGGGGGTGCTATATGAGGGCAAAGCAGCCACCTGCAAGCCTGGAAGAGAGCTCTTAATAAAAAACTGGACCCTGCCGAAAACTTGATCCTGGACTAGAACTGGAACTAGTATCCAGAACTGTAAGAAAATAAATTTCTGACGTTTAAGCCATCCAGCCTGTGGGATTTTGTTACGGCAGTCTAGCAGATTAAGACAAGAATGGTAAAACTATTCTGTATGATATTGTATTTGTGGATATATGACATTATGCATTGTTAAAACCCATAGAATTTTATAGCACGAAGAATGACTCAATGTATGCAAATTAACAAAAACCCACTTAGGAGGTTGGGGGATCCCAGGATCGAATGCAGAATGTGACAAGACAATCTAACTGTATAATTAATGTGTGAAACAACCTACTCAAGAAAGTAGAAAGGAAAGGAGCTGACCTAAGTAACTCTGGAAATGATTGAAGTCTGTAAACTTCAAGGCAAAAGAAACTATACATAAACATTGTACTCTAGTGGAAAAAGTTGTTTTCCATGGAGGTAATGGTTAACCATTCTGTTACTGTTGTACACGTATATTGGAAGTGAACTATTCATAGATGAATGGCTGATATGGGAGCCAGGTTTTTCACTGTTGAAATGGGAATTTACAGACGAATAAGGGAAGAAGCTAGAATGATCCATATAGAAATGGATTAGAGTTGGAGACATCAGTATACATTCAAAACTAGCTTAAGTTAGTTATAGTTGATTACACAGATAAATATTTATAGATATCTTATATACACAGGTTAATATACACTCATAGATCAACTTTTTCCATCAGCTAAGAAGGCCCAGAAGCTATGATACCCTAGTAGCAATGAAAACTCCTAGCACCAAGGTATTTGTTTTTAATATCATTCTCCAATAAAAGAAACCAGGGTTCCTTGGAGAAATGACTGATTCTAGGACTGGTGTAGGAAATGTACAAGAAGAGCCTGGAGTATTTTGTGGTGCCAGAATGCAAGAAAGTATTTAAAATACATCACAAAACCTCACAATGCTGGGGTTATATCAAAGAGAGACAAGCCAAGTAAATGAACTCCCAATGGCCAAATATGGAACAGTTTGAGCAAGAAAATAAGTAAAAGAGTATTAGATTGTAATTCAAAAGGTAAAATAAATATCCATGGATGGGTCCATACTGATATAAATAGATGACTGAATAAATAACAAATGGGGTGAAGAGACACATCTATGGA